GTTTTGCCTTAAAAAGATTGGTTTTTTTGGTGCAGTACAGCGTTTTTGCAGTCCCAGGCCTCGAAAGTGCTGTACTGTCCCGAAGAAACCAATCTTTTTAAGGCAAAAAGTGCAAAAATGCTGTACTGTCCCAAAAAAAACAAAAAAAAACCAAAGTTTGGAGACCTTGGGCTCCTCCAGGGGTCTCCAAACTTTGGTTTTTTTGGTTTTTTTGGGACAGTACGGCATTTTTGCTTGTTTTGGCCTAAAAACATTGGTTTTTTTGGGACAGTACAGCGTTTTTGCAGTCCCAGGCCTCGAAAGTGCTGTACTGTCCCAAAGAAACCAATCTTTTTAAGGCAAAAAGTGCAAAAATGCTGTACTGTCCCAAAAAAACCAAAAAAACCAAAGTTTGGAGACCTTGGGCTCCTCCAGGGCCTGGAGGTCTCCAAACTTTGGTTTTTTTGGTTTTTTTGGGACATTGCGGCATTTTTGCTTGTTTTGACTTAAAAATATTGGTTTTTTTGGGACAGTACAGCGTTTTTGCTCTTTTGCGCCTAAAACATTGGTACAGTGCTCGCTGCTCTCGGAGGCTTCGAAATCCTAAGCCTCCAAACCCTACCATGGCACCTGAGAGGAAAAAGTGTGGGCATATGGGGGGGGGGGGGGGGGGGTACCATATATATATATATGTATATATATATATACCATGCATATATGTATATATGTATACAGCCTCAGCCCCTGACGTCACCAGCCCCACTCGGTAGTTCCGATCGCCAGGATGTGCAAACCTGAGGCCAGGAGCCGAGGAGCGGAGCGCCCTCTTGGGGTTTAGGGTTTAGGGTTTAGGGTTTAGGGCTAGGGTTTAGGGTTTGGGGTTTAGGGGTTTAGGGTTTAGGGTTTAGGGTTTGGGGTTTAGGGTTTGGGGTTTAGGGCTTGGGGTTTGGGGGTTCAGGGTCTGGTGTTTGGGGTGTAGGGTTTAGGTTTTGATTTGGGGTTTAAGGTTGTTTAGGGTTTGGGGGTCGTTGCTCTGGCTTTGGCTACCAGGCTTTACTAGTTCTTCTTTCTTCCTACCATGCTTATTGCTATTCTTACTCTTACCATTCCTATGACTCTTGTTGTTACTACTGTTATTCATATCATGCTTCTTGTTGTTGTTATGTCTACTCTTCTTTCCCATCATGCTAGGAACCCTGCAGGGTTCTTCAGGCCCGCAGACACGGTCCAGGGCTGAGCCCCGAAGACCATCAGACTCCTAACCCTAGCCCCCAGACCATCACACCCTTTTTCCCAAACCCAAAACCCAAAATCCAAAACCTCCAACCCTAAACCCTAAACCCAAAATCAAAAACCTCTAACCTTAAACCCTAAACCCTAAACCCTAAACCCTCAACCCTCAACCCTAAACCCTGACTCCAAAACCCCAAACCCTAAATCCTCCACAATGTCGGAGTTGGGTCAAGGGGCCTTGCCAGGTGGCCTTTGTCCCTGCAGGCGCATGCGAAGTGTGTTCCTTTTTCGGGCTTGGGAGGGGGGGGGGGCGGGGGGGTTCTAAACAGCCCTAGAAACCATCCTAAACCCTAAAAGCAAGAAGCCCTAAACATATCCTAAAAAGGCATCCTACAGTAAATGGCAATGATTCAGGGAATTCAGGCCTAACACCATCCTAGGATTGGGGAAAAGCTGCCTGCCCAAGCTCATCAGCGCTGGCTGCCTTCAGGCGCATTCCCAGATCCCACCCGAGTCCCAGTAACAACCTCCTGCGTAAGTTGATTGAATCAATATAGGGCACCCCCTAAACCCTGAACCCTAAACCGTAACTCTAAACCCTAAACCCGTTCGAAACATCCAGCAGGGTTCCATGTTTCGATCTCCAAAGCCTAGGGCCTAGGGCCTAGACTACCATTGTCTTGTGTCCTTGGATGGGATGCAGAAGTCTTCACAATACCTCTACTTAGTTGTCCAGTGCCCTAGGTGAACTAAAGGTCAAACTTTGGGACTATAATATAGGGAACATAATACCCCAAAACAGTTCAAGGTCACCTACGTGCTCTACTTCTACGTCATTTTTTGGGTGGATCCCGTTTCGTTGGGTTTTATACAGGGTTTAGGGTTTAGGGCTTAGGGTTTAGTATTTAGGGCAGCTGGGTCGTAGTGTGTAGAGGAAATCACGCCAAAGCTTCGGGGTCTCTTCGCGCCTTTGGTAGCACTTGGTGCCATACTTGCAGGCCGTCCTGGCAAGAGGTGGTGCGCGGTGAAGTGGCTTTAGTGCAGTAGGTTTAGGGTTTGGGATTTGGGTTTCGGGCTTCGGGTTCAGGGTCCAGGGTTCAGGGTTTAGGAATTTAGGGTTTAGGGTTTGAGGGTTTTAAGGTTTAGGGTTTAGGGGCCAGAATCGCGTAATTGGATGTAGGGTTTTGTGTTTTGGGTTTTGGGGGGCTAGGCATGTGTTGGGTTGAGGAATTCGGGCTAGCGGCAAAGCAGCAGGCAGTAGACCACAAATCCTACCAGGATAGGCGATTGCAAAACCCTAAACCCTAAACCCTAAACCCTAAACCCTAAACCCTAAACCCTGAACCCTATACGGCACTTCTTCGGAGTGGCAAAAGGAAGTTGATAACTTCTTTGCCCATCCTGGGAACCGAACCCCCTGACCTTGCATAAGCCTGTCACCCTAAACCAGAGACCGAACACCCTAGCCCTAAACCCTAAACCCTAAACCCTAAACCCTAAACCCTAAACCCTAAACCCTAAACCCTAAACCCCACTCCCTGCAGCCTTTCGCAGGAAACCCCTGGCCTCATGCACGGGGACGTGGGATCGTCCTTCCAGCTTGGGGGCGCTGACTTGCGTCTCTCTAAGAGTAGTTGCATTAGGGGGTTTAGGGTTTAGGGCTAGGGTTTAGGGTTTAGGGTTTATAGGGTTTAGGGTTTAGGGTTTAGGGTTTAAGGGTTTAGGGTGTTGGGTGTAGGGTTTAGGGTTTAGGGTTACATGGGCCCTGAATATGGTCCCCTTACCGCCCTTAAAGGCCCTTGGGTTCTGCAGGATATGTAAGGGGTACATAAGGGCTCCCGTTATAAGTGCCCACACAAAGGTGCTTAGGATTTGGGGCTAACCCCTCTCCCTGAAAGGCTCCCCGCAAACTGGCAAATGCTCCACTCAAGAACAAACCCTAAACCCTAGGCCCTAAACCCTAAACACTAAACCCTGTTGAGGCTCTGACTTCAGACTGCCCAAAAAACAAGTCATCGGAACTCTTGCTGAAGGAGCTGTGTAGTCGTTTCCGGCAGTGCAGTCAGGACAAGTGCGACTGCTGGTTTAGGGTTTAGGGTTTAGGGTTTAGGGTTTAGGGTTTAGGGTTTAGGGAGCCTGCACCACACGGTGGGGTTGCATTCCGGGTCAACGATTCAGCTCCCGGCGGGAAACACACAACAGTGTGCCCCATTTACCTCCCTGCTCAGGTGGTTTGTCCAGGGCTCAGGAATACAGGGGCTCAGGGCCCTACACTCCAAACCCTAAACCCTTTTGCATCCGGGCTTGGGGCAGTCGGCCGGGGATGTAAGTTGCGGATCTCAACGCATGGCGCTCGAGAAACCCTAAACCCTAAACCCTAAACCCTAAACCCTAAACGGCTTAGACGCTATGCTGGGGTGCCTCCTCCTCCTCTGGATGCGCCTTGGCATGCTTGGGGGCTACGGAACGGGAGGCCATTATTAGGGTTTAGGCTTAGGGTTTAGGGTTTAGGGTTTAGGGTTTAGGGTTTAGGGTTTAGGGTTTAGGGTTTAGGGTTTAGGGTTTAGGGCCAATACGCTAAGTCTCACTGTTGCTATGTCAGTGCTTCAGTTGTCTGCTTTGGGTGGTGGTGGTGGTGGTGGTGGTGGTGGTGGTGGTGGTGGTGGTGGTGGTGGTGGTGGTGGTGGTGGTGGTGGTGGTGGTGGTGGTGGTGGGTTTGAGGTTCAAGTTTAGGCGGCCGAAGGTCGTAACATGAATGCAACCCAGGCTCAATACCCTGTGCTGTGTGGGCACGTCTCGCTTCACCCTAAACTCTCTCTCTCTCTCTCTCTGTCTCTGTCTGTGTCTGTGTCTCCGTCTCCGTCTCTGTCTCTGTCTCTGTCTCTGTCTCTGTCTGCCAGGCATTCGAAACGTCAACCCTGCGTGGGATAGCACCCCAAACCCGAGCACCCCAAAACCCTAAATCCTAAACCCTGACCCCCCCCCCCCGGCAACCTGAGCCAAAAAAACGTGAGCCAAGGTTGTAGACCCTGAATTCCTAAACCTCAAACCCTGAACCCCTAAACCTCAAACCCTGAACCCCTGAACCCTGGAACTCCCGCCCTCTCTCACGCATCCTGAAACCCCTAAACCTAAACCCTAAACCCTACACCCCTAAACCCTGAATCCCTTAACCCCAAAGCAGACCAAGAGTTGCCACGAATGGGGGGATTCCGAGATTAGGGGTACCTTCTTTGTGCCCGCTAAACCCTAAGCCTAGACCCTAAACCCTAAACCCTACACCCTAAACCCTAAAACCCTAAACCCTAAACCCCAAACCCCAAACCCTAAACCCTAAACCCCCAAATGCTTTTTGTGTCCTCTCCCAGGGTCTGGCAGGCTTCTCTGCTGCCTCAGATCGCTCCTTTTTCTGAGGTTTCGGGTGTAGGGCTTCATCGCTTGGGGTTAAGGGTTAAGGGTTTAGGGTTTAAAGTCCCTTTGGGGGAGGTCCTTTGTATACGGTGCCGTACTATACAGGGACCCGATAAGGGAGCCTAACCTAGAGAACGGCTCCTCTTCTAAATACCGTCTTGGCCCCAGATAAGCCATGCAACCACGGGCAACATCACGAATATTACGCTTACTATGCAAAGTACTATGAATACTACGACTATGTCTTTGCTGCCATTAAACCCTAAACCCTAAACCCTAAACCCTAAACCCTAAACCCTAAACCCTAAACCCTAGAGCTGCCGGCCACTGTGGGCTCATCTCAATGGCTGGCTCACAAGGAAGCTGCCGGGCCAAGGTCAGTCTCCTGGCTTCGGGTTTAGGGTCAGGGTTTAGGGTTTAGGGTTTAGGGTTTAGGGTTTAGGGTTTAGGGTTTAGGGTTTAGGGTGTAGGGTTAAGGGTTTAGGAATTTAGGGTTTTAGGAACTTAGGGGTTAGGAATTTAGGGTTTACGTTCAGGGTTTAGGGCTTAGGGTATAGGGTTTTGGGGCTCGAGGTCATAGGGGGTCTTCGACTGAGATGTGTGCGTGTTCGAGTGCTTGCGAAAGGCCAGTATAGCCTCTACGCATCTCAACGATAGTGAGCCAGAAGTGCATGTAGCTAGTAAGTCATATTCTTGTAGAAGATAAGTGCGGGGGGGGGGGGGGGGGGGCAACTTGGAGTTACGAATTGGTGTTTAGCCGAAGGCTTCTGTTTTCTTTCGGAGGGGGGGGGTTAGCATTTAGGGTGTAGGAAGCAGGGTTAAGGGCTGCTTAAACTCGCGGCTTGGGATGTTTCTTAGTCCTCAGTGCCCTAGGCACCCATGCCCTACACCCCCTGTAAGGTTCCCAACTTGGGTTCATTATGACTGCTGCTTGTTTGCGATCGTCCCAAGGCTGCTACCATTGCTGTGTGCTTGGTTTGGTTGTATCGTTGCATCTTGTCATCATGTAACGGTCCCACCTTCAAAAAACATATCAGTCTTGCAGGATGCCTGGGTTTAGGGTTTAGGGTTTAGGGTTTAGGGTTTAGGGTTTAGGGTTGCCTCATTTATACCTGAAGAAGGTCTGGGCAACTGTCAGCGGCTTGTGCGATGTCCAGTACAACAAAAGCAAGCCAAAGGCAAGTACCACATCACACAAGCAGTGCGCCAAAACTTGTACACAGTATGCAGAGCAAACCCTAGACCCTAAACCCTAAACCCTAAACCCTAAACCGGGGCGATGGTTTCAAGAACCCTCAGAGCACCATTCTGCGATGGACCTCGCCAGCCATAGTACGACATGGGGGCACCATCCTCGACACAGCTGCTGCAGGTGCAAGATTCGCGTTTAGGGTTTAGGGTTTGGGAATTGGGGTTTGGGGCCTGGGGCTTGGGGCTTGGGGCTTGGGGTTTGGGGTTTGGGATTTGGGGAGGTTTTGCGGTTTGGGCACAGTATGGTTCTCGTAGCTTGCTGGGAGGTGAGCTTTTGGGGCGCATGGGCGAGGCCCGTGCAGGTCCTGCATTGCTACAGCTACCCCTCCATCAGGGCTGAGGCTCCCCACAACTTCATGCAGCGTTTAGGGTTTAGGGTTTAGGGCCCAAAACCTGAACCCTAAATCGCAATGCCAAGCTCCAACGGCCCTTTGCTAACAACACGGTGACTGCTGACAAGCCTGCAAAATTCCTCCCTAGTATGGGTCTTTAGAAGGGGACCCCTTACATACCACTTATACCCTATGAACCCTAAGGGCGCATACTTCAGAACCCTTTAAAGGAGGTACGGGACCATATTCAGGGACCATATAACCTGATGGTAGTTCCTAGGGTTTAGGGTGTAGGGCCGTCGTGCCTCCAATCGCCCAAAATGACTGCTGGTCGCTGCTACCTACAAGGAGAGCCCCCCTTACTGTACTGAATCTGGCTAAGGGACTTAGAACCGAATTTAGGATTCTTATAACCAAATTTAGGAGTCTAATCACCCCACTCATACCTTGTGGAGGCCCCTAAGCCCTAAACCCTAAACCCTAAACCCTGAACGCTCCTTGTAGCCGGCCAAGAATCCCTACACCCCAGACCCCCTTTTTTCAACCCAGAACCCTAAATTAAACCCTAAACCCTAAACCCTAAACCCTAAACTTAAGCCCGGGTCTCGAACCTCTTGGGCCCTCAACGACATTGCGCCTTGCGCTTGGCTCCCGCAGCCGATGGCCTGCCGACTTCCCAAAAGCGAGCGACGACTGGGCTTCTAGGGTTTAGGGTTTAGGGGTTTAGGGGTTTAGGGGTTTAGGGTTGAGGGCCCTCAAAGCCTTACTTGTCCCAGTTGCTCAGGGGGAGCTCAAGGCTGACCTTGGGGATTCTGCAGCGATTTTTCCCCCTAGACCCTAGCAAATGTCACATGTTCTCAGCAAGGGTTTAGGGTTTAGGGTTTTGGGGCTCCTTGTTGTAAGGGTGCCGTAATATGTCTACGACCCCCCAAAAGGAACGCGTATTCAGAGAACTACCCATGTAGGGCGTATTAGGGCTCCGTAGATGTTTTTGCGTAGAGGGGTTTAGGGTCAGGGTTTAATGTAAGGATGTAGGGTTTGGTGCTTGGTAGGGTGCAAGGGTTCAGGGTTTGGGGCTTACAGGCGAAACGTGCCAAAAGAAAGATCTTGCTTGTCCCGGCTGTGTCACAAGAGTGCATGTATCGTTGCTGCAACGTACAAGTTCTGTCAGCCTACATGTGCCGTGACCTCCGCTCCTACAGCGGAGAGAATGCGCGAACTCTGGGGCAATCACGGAAGCACACCTGTCAAATGCTGGCAGCAGGGATTTGTACGTTTTGTTCCGGCAGCGTGCGTGGGCAGCAGAGATTGTACAAGTTGCTCAGGTGATATTGCTAGTGAAAGCAGCAGGGATTTGTACGATTTGTTCCGGCAGCGTGCGTGGGCAGCAGAGATTTGCACAAGTTGTTCCGGCGATATTGCTAGTGAAGGCAGCAAGGATTTGTACGATTTGTTCCGGCAGTGTGGCCCTAAACCTAACCCGAATTTATCCTAAACTGCTTCGGGCAGTGCGCGTGGGCAGCATTCATTTGTACGCGATTTGTTCCGGCATTGTGCGTCTGGATCGGCTGGCTAAAGTTGACCATGACCGCAAAAACCAACAATCAACATTTCAACAATGTTGTAACTCTAGCTAGCCATATTGATTTGTACGATGTGTTCCGGCAATGTTTGTGGACGGCAGCGACTTGTACGATTTGTTCCGGCATTGTGCGTCTGGGTCGGCTGGCTAAAGTTGAGAAGGACCGCAGCATCCAATAATCAAGATTTCAACAATGTTGTAACTCTAGCTGGCCATATTGATTTGTACGATTTATCCCGGCAATGTTTGTGGAGGGCAGTGACTTATACGATTTGTTCCGGCATTTTGTTCCGGTAATGTTTGTGGACGGCAGTGACTTGTACGATTTGTTCCGGCATTGTGTGTCTGTGTCTGCTGGCTAAAGTTGACAGTGACCGCAATAACTAGTAATCAAGGTTTCAACAAAGTTGTAACCCAAGATAGCCGCCTTGATTTGTACGATTTGTTCCGGTAATGTTTGTGACGGTAGTAATTTTTACGATATGTCAGATAAGATTTATAATTTCTTGATATATCTGGAAATCTCGAACACTGCATTCAAGTTCATTCAGCACCCGCAAATTTCGGAAATCAGTCTTTCAACTTGAAAGTTAGGGTTTACAAGCAGCAAAAACATGCTCCCAATTGTACCGGTACGCTGTGCAAATCATGCGGGCCAAACAAAAATATCGTTCAGTTCATGCAGCGCCGCAAGGTTCGGAAATCAGTGTTTCAACTTGAAATTTAGACACCGCAAGTTTCGGAAATGAGTGCTTCAACTTGAAATTTAGGGTTTAGGGTCACCTCAAGCGGCAAAAACATGCCCCAACTGTACCTGTACACTGTACAAAACATGCGCGCCAAATACAATCATGTTTACTTCATTCAACACCGCAAGTTTCGGAAATGAGTGCTTCAACTTGAAATTTAGGGTTTAGGGTCGCTCAAAAAACCTCAAGCGGCAAAAACATGCCCCAACTGTACCTGTACACTGTACAAAACATGCGCGCCAAATACAATCATGTTTACTTCATTCAACACCGCAAGTTTCGGAAATGAGTGCTTCAACTTGAAATTTAGGGTTTAGGGTCGCTCAAAAGACACCAAACGGCAAAAACATGCCCCAACTGTACCTGTACACTGTACAAAACATGCGCGCCAAACACAATCATGTTTACTTCATTCAACACCGCAAGTTTCGGAAATGAGTGCTTCAACTTGAAATTTAGGGTTTAGGGTCGCTCAAAAGACCTCAAACGGAAAAAAAAACATGCCCCAACTGTACCTGTACACTGTACAAAACATGCGCGCCAAATACAATCATGTTTACTTCATTCAACACCGCAAGTTTCGGAAATGAGTGCTTCAACTTGAAATTTAGGGTTTAGGGTCGCTCAAAAGACCTCAAACGGCAAAAACATGCCCCAACTGTACCTGTACACTGTGTACAAAACATGCGCGCCAAATACAATCATGTTTACTTCATTCAACACCGCAAGTTTCGGAAATGAGTGCTTCAACTTGAAAGTTAGGGTTTAGGGTCGCTCAAAAGACACCAAACGGCAAAAACATGCTCCCAATTGTACCTGTACACTATACAAAACATGCGCGCCCAATACAATCATGCTTAATTCACTCAACACCGCAAGTTTCGGAAATGAGTGCTTCAACTTGAAAATAGGGCTTAGGGTCGCTCAAAAGACCCCAAACGGCAAAAACATGCTCCCAACTGTACCTGTATACTCTACAACACATGCGGACAGTTGTCGTAGTTCATGAAGCTTATAAACAAATTTGAAAACACGTTTATGCTGCTACCTGGTGTCGATGAAATGCATGTGTTCGTACTACATGCAACAACATTCAGAAGTAAAGGACAACATTCATGTATACCGTCACTGTATAAAAAACTGTATAAACAAATGAAGTTTGTTGAGCGAGATTCATTCGTAAGTCAAGTTACGTGTTAATGTCAAAACATATTATGAAAAGATGTCTTGTGCTTACAATTTTAGGTATAGAGGCTATCTGAGATGGAGTTCTGTTAATTTGGATGCGAAAGTGTAATACTGCGCACTCCCTAATATGTTAGCTTGATGTGTATAATGCGATTGATTTGTTGGGGACAACCTCATCGATGGTGTTGCTTTGGAAACACGTTTCTTTCTTGACGCAGTGAGTGTTAGCCTTACACCTTGCCAGGCAACGATAATTTGAACCAAGGCTCTGTGGATCATAGGAGGCTCTGTTGGCATATATATATATATATATATTGTTTTTTGGGGGGTTCTTGAGCAATAGCAGTCTAGTCTAGGATGGCCCGTAAAACTCTCTGAGAAATATTCTGGAATATGATCCTCTCATCTAAACCCTGGGAAAACAACAAATGTCCAAAGCGCCTACCTAGCAATCATGGGGTTTCCCTACTACCCCCCTCTACCCCCCCTAGGTTCCCGCCTTAAATAACCTCAATTAAGCTTATCCCTATATAGCCTTAATTATGGGGGGAACCTGGGGGGGGGTAGTATAAAGGGGGGAAGTAGGGAAACCCATAAAGTATGCTGAAATTCCACGAATCCTTCGGCCGCCTCTGTGGCATCAGCGGCGCACCTCGCTCGGCAACGACCATCGCCGCCACATCGTCCGCTGGCGCGTTCACCTCACTCCATGAACACTTGTCTCCCTGAGCCTTGATGTAGAGATACACGCGGCTTTAGGGTTTAGGGTCTGGGGTTTGGGGTTTAGGGTTTGGGGTTTAGGGTTTAGGGTTTAGGGTTGAGGGTTTAGGGTTTCGGAACTGCACGTCTCCGAGTGATATATTGGTGAATGTAGGAAGGGACCCCCCCGCATGTATCGATCCTGAAGCCCTTCGATCACACAGTCGGGCAGCACCCTTCTACAGCTCCCTCAACCTAACCCCTAAACCCTAAATCCTAAAACCTGAGTGGAATTGGTCTGTACATCGAAGTGAACCGCGACCCCCGCCCCCCCCCCCCCCCCCCCAAAAAAAAAAAAAAAAAAACAAAATAAAAAAACAACAATAATAAATGAAATAACGATTGAATGGGCTCTGGATGGCTCTGTGAGGCGCCGGACTTCTTTTTTGTGGAGAAGCCTCTGGTAGAAAGCAGCCCGCTGCCCCACTTGTGTGCTTGTGCTCGGTTTTGGTTTTCCCAAATGAGCAGGGGGTTGTAAGTCAGTTCCCGCATTTGCTTTCTGAAGTATACATCCCAAAAACAAACCCCCCCCCCCGCTTTCAAAAAACACATTGAAGACTTCAGGCAGTTCCTTGGGGGAACTTCCGCTGCTTAGGGTTTGCAAGGGCTTAGGGCCTAAGGGTGGGAGCCGCTAGACTTGTGTAAGGCTTAGGGTATAGGGCTTAGGGTTTAGGGCTTACGTAGGGCTTAGAGCCCTAAACCCTAAACCCTAAACCCGAAACCCTAAACCTTAAACCCCAAACCCTAAACCCCTTATCCTCCCCCAAGGAGCTGGGAAGAGCCTTTGCAATGCTGCGTGGCCCACACGGTCTGGCCGCTGCCACCCGGAAGCCTGCAGGGGCGCAGGCTTTCGGGAACAGGATCTTGGGTTAGGGTTTAGGGTTTAGGGTTTAGGGTTTAGGGTTTAGGGTTTAGGGTTTAGGGTTTAGGGTTTAGGGTTTAGGGTTTAGGGTTTAGGGTTTAGGGTTTAGGGTTCAGGTTTAGGGTTTAGGGTTTGGGGTTTGGGGTTTCGGGTTTCAGGTTTAAGCGTTTAGGAGTGTCAAATTTTTTTATGGGCATGCTTGTCCAAGGGCTGCGACCCAGCAGCAGGGTGAAATCACAGCCTCTTGACACTCGGTGGACTCACACAAAGTGACGATCGAAGATTCAGCGCCCATGGGCAACACCGTACTGTCGCAAACTGCAAAAAACAGGCGCAAAACACAAAGTACTGAAACACTGCGAAGTGATCCCGAGAGACTTTTTCACTTTTGCAATCCTGGGCGGAAAGTCGACGTTTGTGACACGTGTGCCAGCATCCCAACATACGTGTGTATACACACACAGACACATACACAGACAAAGACACCCCACCAATGTGGCCTGTGTTTGCGTTGTTCGGAATTGGGGGGGGGGGGGGGTAGCTGGAGGCTGGGCTGGCGAAGAACCAGGCGGGCACGCGCGGATGGGGAGGGAGAAGGGTGGGGAAGGGGAAGGGAGGAAGGAGGGGAAGGAGGGGAAGGGGGGCAAGGGGGACAAGGGGGAAGAGGGGAAGGGGGGAAGGGTGGGGTACGAACAAGAACTGAACCAGCCACGCAACGGCAGCCACTCACTGTAGTCTACTACGCACCTTTAACCACTAAATGGTTTCATTCCAGTGACAGCACTGTATTGGAGTCAGCCACGAGTATCCTCCGCCGGGGTTATCGATCAAACTGAAACCATACAAACCGTCAACAACCCTGCATGGAAGCCTCGAAAGCGGCAATCATGGCAGCCACGTCGGCATCGACGCTTTCTGCACCTTGCACCACGAGACGGAGAATTGTTAGTTTACAGGCCTACAGGCCTTCAACCCTGGACGCGATGCCCTAAACCATATACCTTAAACTCCAAACCCTGCACCCCCAAAAGACCCTACAAAGACGACAGCCTCCTCTCTTTGTGAGACCTACATCTTGGAAAGAAATGGTCTGGGCTACTTGGAGGTTCATGAGTACTTTAAAACCCCAACTTGGGTTTTTAACCCCAATTAAAAACGTCTACTTATAAACTACTCAGAGGACTTCGGGGGCTTATAAGTGCAGTTCCAATTGGGGCTGTAAGTACACTGAACCTCGAAGTAGAGCACGAGTGTATACCCGACGCTTTTCCAGCCCCGTGAGCGCAAGGCACAACTGCACTCGAAAAAACAGAACAAGATATAGGTATTCCTACAGGGCACCGAAGCCACAGGCATGTGGCACGGTCGGCGACGAACGGCGGAAGGCTTGGCCCACAGGCAGGAACAGTGCGGTATGGCAATGGACAGCAAGAAAGAAGGGGCCAATCACAAGAGGCATGCTTGACAAACCCCAACGGCACCATGGAGGAACTGAGGCTTTGCAAAAGTCGGCTTGGAGATCACAAGTGGATGATAGCTTTTGGTTGTAGAGCTTGGAAGGTTGAGAAGTGAATTCGGGGGTCCGCCCATGTTGCAGCAGTGCCCGATTCAGGGCTTGTGACAGCGGCTTTCTTCAGCTTTGTCAGATCGACCCATCAACACGTCTGAACCTTAAAGCTTAAATTCCAATAAACCCTAATTAACCATAACACTTTCAAGTGGCCAGCAAGGACATTGACCATGCTCGCATCCTGTGGAAAGGGGATCCTTATGATCAACACCCGCAAAATTTCCTGTTCGCACTGAGGGCAACAGGAGCAGAGCTTAACAGCTTAACCACCCTCCCTAAATTGCACAACCCTAAGGCCTTGAACCCTCCAGGCCCTAAACTCCAAACCCTAAAGGCCCCACTCTACAACCCGAAAGCCCTAACACCCGAAAACCCTGCATCGAAAACCCTACATGCCCTAAACTATACAACCCTAAAACCCCAAAACCCCTAAAGCCCCAGAGCGACACAACCCTGGAGCCCTAAATGCTCTAAAACCTAAGCCGTAAACCTCTAGATCCTAAACTCTACACCCTCAACCCTAAACCCTACACGAACCCTAAACCCCTGAAACTCATCTCCAACGTCAGCCTTCGGGCTGTGCTGCTCGTAGTATCTGAGCGACCACGGTGCTGCCCTCGGCCGCCATCCTCACGGGGCCCCCTGGACTCCCAAACCCTAGAATCCCCAAACCCCAAAGGGTTTAGGGTTTAGGGTTTAGGGTTTAGGGTTCCACACACCCTAAACCCTCTTTTGCATCTGTGCTCTGTCTGCGTGCTAAAACCCGGAATCCTAAAACCCAAAAACCCTAAACCCCTAAACCCCCAAACCCTAAGCCCCAACCCCTAAAGAGCACAGGAGTTCTGAGGGCTTCTAGGGGTCTGGTGTGGACTGTGAAAAGCAGTCAAACCAAGCCCTGGCGACTTGGAGCGAAGACCCAGAAGGACGCTGCCCTTGTAAGTGTTTAGGTTTTTTTTTGTAGGGCTGTAGGCTTGTATAGTTTAGGGCATGTAGGGTTTACAGTTTAGGGTTTTCGGGCTGTTTTAGGCACTTTTTAGTTTAGGGCCTTTAGAGTTTAGCTCGGCTTGAGGGTTTAGGGTGGCACCAGCCGCAGACGAAGGCGTTCAATCGTTTCGGCCACAGTGACGTCAACAGGCTTTCACGCTTGACGAGAGAGACAGGTCTTCCAATCTAATCTTGACGTGTGGGGCGTGTTTTGTTGGAAGAACCCTGGACCCTAAACCCTATAAACCCTAAACCCTAAGAAAAACAAAAAATCCCCTAAAGGTCGCTTGGAGATAGGTTTTCATGGAGACCCGTTTCGTGATCCGCTGCACCCACGTCTCAGGCGAACAGCTCAGAGCTTGGGGCTCTGGGATTGCCTACACCCTGTTAGGGTTTTAGGGTTTAGGGTTTAGGGTTTTGGGATCCTAAACCCCCTAAACATCCCCACCCCACCCTTCTGGGACCCTGTGAGCCCCGAAGCCATCCGCGTATTTCGAGCCCCGGGTCTCGGAAAGCTGCGGGATGGCGCTGAGGGCGGTCGCTGTCGGAACGCAGATGATGAAGAGGCAGGGCTTCGTCGAATCCTGGTGGCCCTAAAACCCTAAACCCTAAACCCTAAACCCCTAAACCCCTAAACCCTAGAGCCCGAAACCCCCAAACCCTCAACCCTAAAGCCCTGAATCCCTAAACCCTAAACCCAAAACCCTAAACGTGGGGTGCTGAGGGCTTAGGATGCTGTCGGGCTTGAGGAGTATCGAGTTTTAAGGCTTCAGGGTTCATGGATAACAAGCTGCGGGTGCTAACCTAGACCCTGAACCCCCAAACCCTAAACCCTAAATCAACCCTAAACCCGAAACCCTGTAGCCCCAAACCCCAAACCCGAAACCCTGTAACCCTCAACCCTAAACCCTGTAACCCTAAACCCTAAACCCTAAACCCTAAACCCTAAACCCTAAACCCTAAACAACCCTAACAACCTCACGGCAAGGTGCTGCTTCGGCTGCGGCCACGCGCTTCAGCGCGGCCCGGGGCCGCGCACTGAGGCCCTCGAGTACCAAGGCTTTAGCCTGCTTTGTAGGGCTTAGGGTTTAGGTTTTGGGGTTTAGGGTTTAGGGTTTGGGGTTTAGGGTCTAGGGTTTGGAGTTTAGGGTTAGGGTTCAGGGTTTAAGGTGTAGGGTTGTAGGGTTCAGGGTTCAGGGATTAGGGCTTCATGCCCTAAATAATACTGAGGATCACTATATAGTTTAAGGAGTATTCCTTGAACAAGGGATTTTGGGCTTTGTGGGTAGGGCTTAGTTTAGGGTTTAGGGTTAGGAATTGAGGTCTTGGAGGGTTTAGGAGTTTAGGGTTTAGTAATGAGGCCAAGCTTGAGGGCTTAGAGGGGTTCGTGGTTTAGAGTTTGGGGTTGAAGGCTTGGAGGGGTTAGGAGTGTAGGATTCATTGTGTTTGGCCAAACAGAAAACACCTTAAACCCTCAACCCGCAACGACCCTGGATTCTCGTAAACTCAAAACACCTAACCCCAACTCCAGACCCTAAGCCCAAAAGCTCCTGCCCTGCTTTTTAAAGCCTTCAAGCTTGGCCCCGTGCCCCTGAACCCAGTGTAGGAGTTGGGGTTCAGGGTGTAGGGTGTAGGGTTTCGGGGGCAGCTTAGCCAGCTTCCCAGCTTCTGGGGATTCATTGGGACGGACACCCGAGGGTGTTACACTTCGCCACCGTGTTAAGTGTTGACCCCTATTCCCCAGACACACCGTTTGAACCCAGACTCAAAGCATCAGCTAACATACCTAAACCCTGAACCTAGCCAGGGTCCCAAACCACAAGGGTCTCACACTCTGACACTCTGCGCCCTACCCGAAACCCTAAACCCTGGACCCTATAGACCCTAGACCCTAGACCCTAAACCCAGCACACGTCCCGAGTTGGGGTTTTGGGTTCAGGTGAGCTCCACCTTGTGCACCTGCGGGTCATCCACCTCAATGACCTGGGCCAAATTCAGTTCGCAGTCGTAGGATTTAGGGTTTGAGGTTCTTAGATTTTTGGCCCTTAGCGAGGGAGCTCACGACACTTTCCAGGGGGCTAAACGCCCCTAAACCCCAAACCCCAAACCCTAAACTCTAAACCCTAGCACACCTGCCATGTTCGAAGTGCCCCATTGGATCGGGAAGCCCCTCCCCCAAAACAAAACAGTTGGGGTTCGGGGAATAGGGTTCAGGGTTTTGGGCTTAGTGCTCTGGGCTCAGGGCTCAGGGAAAATGTCTGAAATATTCGGGGCTCAAGCCCGGGGAAGCCTTGAGAAAAGCTTTGAGGAGGATTTCTAAACTTTTCAAACGTTTCAAGTTGCAGGTCGTTTTGGAGGGCTTTGGACTGCTTTCAACGTCTGCAGGGGCCTCGGATTCAGAAGGGAGGCTTACCCCAAGCATCAACACCCTAAGCACCGAAAGCACCTTAACCCTAAACCCTGCACTCTAAACCCTACACCCTAAACCCTCAACCCTAAACCCCCTAACCCCCTCCTCCCCCCCCAAAAAAAAAACAGTACAAAGGAAAACCCTAAACCCTCAGCTGGCCTTCAGCTGCGGAGGCAGCTGCAAGCGAAAGGCCCGGACGTCCTCGGTGCAATTGAAGCGGACGTTCAGTTTATGTCTTCGGGAAGTTTAGGGTTTAGGGTTTAGGGCTTAATCATTTTATCGCTCGCGCTCGGACAAACCAGGCGAGGCACACTGTCAGTCAGCCATTGTTGGGAGCCACACTAGACTCGTACGCAACGGGTTTAGTTTTAGGGTAGTTACATGGTCCTTGGTGTGGACCCTTAAACGGGGACCCCTTATATACCCTGCGCAACCCAGGGGCCCACACTTCAGAATCCTTTAAAGGAGGTAAGGGACCACATTAAGGGCCGATGAAACTACCCTTAGAGTTTAGGGAATTCCAAGGTCCTGGGCTTAGGAAGCTTCGGGGTCCCTACAGGTAGTGGCCCTAAACCCTAAACCCTAAACCCTAAACCCTAAACCCTAAACCCTAAACCCTAAACCCTAAAACTCAAACCACATTTCCTGGATCCCGGGGTCTCGGGCCCAATCCTCGACCGCCAGGAACACGGGAGCACCATTGAAGAACTGATTGTTTCGGGTATCCCTAAACCCTAATTAAGCCCTACACCCTACCATAAACCCTAATCCTAAACCCCTTACACCCGGGGGAGGGGTGCTAAGGGGGGTGGGGGGGGGGGGGGGGAGGCTTAGGCTGAGGCTTCAAGGCACTTTGTTTCCCAAACCACGAAATTCATCCTAAACCGAATCACTACCCAACACCCAGTAGACCCTGAAATCCTTAATTAAACCCTAAGCAAAAAACCGCAAAGTCTTGCGAGCAATCCTCCTTTAGGTTTGATACACCGAGAAGGGCTAAGTTTCCCTAAACCCTAAACCCTAAACCCCAAACCCTAAACCCCAAACCCTAAACCCTAAACCCTAAACCCTGAACCCTAAACTTTGCTCCCCTAGCATGTTCCCTTCGAGTTCAAGCCAGCAGTCCAAGCCCGAGCCGAACAGCATCGCCTGCCTTGTTCGCCTCGCTGGGAGAGGGTGGGGGGGGGGTCCCTAAGGGCCTGACCTTGACTTAGATAAGGAATGGCTCCCTATAATCTCCCTTACTACAGGTCATGTATATGACAGAAGGCACCAGGGGTGCGGGTTTAGGGTTTAGGGTTTAGGGTTTTGGGTTTGGGGTTCCCTAGACCCTGAACGTTGGGGGTTTAAAGTTTTGCGTTCAGGGCTTTTGCAGGACTGGGGAGGGGGGGGGAGACCGAACTCCCCACAAGAGCCCCGCGTCCACAAGAGAAGGAGAATCCGATCAAATCCCGCTTGCCGGTTCGTGGTAGGGAAGTTTAGGGCTTAGGGTTTAGGGTTTAGGGTTAAGGGTTTAGGGTACCAGTGGGGTCACAAGTGCCCTGAACCCCCAAGGAAACCCTAAACCCTAAACCCTAAACCCCAAACCCCAAAACCCTAAACCCCAAACCCTAAACCCTAAACCCCAAACCCTAAACCTGTGTTGAGATTTGCGGGCATCCCATGGCCTGGACACCGCATCCAAGAGGATGCGGTCGAGGAAGGCGTCATGCACCACCCGGGCCAGTTGGTCTTCCTTGGCAGCTTTAAACCCTAACCCTAAACCCTAAACCCTAAGCACTAAACCCTAAACCCCTCTTTCTTGAGCCAAGTCCGAGACCCCGGCCTCTGACTCCTCCGTCGCCGGCCCGAAAGCCTCCACCAGATGACAGGCAAAGGGGTCGGAGAGCAGCCTTGGCTTGGCGTTTAGGGGTTAGGGTTGAGGGTTTAGGGTTTAGGGTTCAGGGTTCAGGGTTTTGGGTTTAGGGCTTAGGGTTTAGAGTTCAGGGTTTTGGCAAGTTGGCCCGGGACTCTTTTTCTCTTCCCGCAGCTTCACGGGTTGACTGCACTGTAGGTAAATGGAACTGCAGGATAGCAGGCTCTTGAGGGGCATTTGAAGCCTTAGGATTCGAGGTTGTGGTGGGACGAGGGAGAGGAGGAGCTTAAGGGGGCCTTGGGTTTAGGGCCTAAAACCCTAAACCCTAATTAAACCTTCAACCCTAAGCGTAAACCTTTTCCAAGAGACTTCGCCCTCCTCGATACAACCCTGAACCTCAATGTATGCCGCGGGTTCTGCAGAATGCCGTTTCGAGGTTGAGAGTTGAGCGACAGTGTGTTTTTTGCTAGGGTTTAGGGAAGGCACGAAAAGAATCCATGAGAACCGAAATTACCCCACTCCTCTGCATGCCAGAAGCGGAGCACGCTTGTCTTGCTGCACCTGACGAGGCGCAAACGGTCTTAGCCCTACGGCTGGCTCGGGGTGTGAACCCCTAAACCCGAACACTAGTCACTAGACTAGACCCCAAAGCTGCTTGGGTGTATAATCTAGGGTCCCTTTTGAACTGAAAGCCGCTTCCTGCCAGGACTGAGGGCCGCGCGTAGTGATAATCGTCCCTAAACCCTAGACCCCGATTGTAGTATTGGTGTCGGAAATAGCTCTCGAAACCCTCTCCAGGCCCCAAACCGCCAAAACCCCGCCCGCTCCGAAGCTCCCAACGTTCAAGCCGTAAACCCTAGACCCTAAACCCTGAACCCTAACCCTAAACCCTAAACCCGCACTGAGGCATTCGACCTCCCGGCATCGTGCCGCCACAGGTGGAAGGATTCGGGCCAGATGCCTGAGCACCGCTTGAGTGTCAGTTTTTGTGAAAATTTTCATGGAATCCTGAACCCTGTAGCGATAAACCCTACATCCTAAACGCTAGGCCCTAAACTCAAAACCCCTAAACCCTAAACCCACAACCCCTAAACCCTAAACACAAAACCCAAAACCCCTAAACCCTTTGCGGGCTTCGGACGCGCCAGGGGTTGTCTTGCGAGAGCCGAGACCGGGGATGAGGCCTATGCTACTCTTTGCCCTAAATGGGGTTGCGGGGTGGTTCGGTGGGAGGTCCTTTCGGGTTTAGGGTTTAGGGTTTGGGGTTTAGGGTTTAGGGTTTAGGGCTTAGGGTTTGGGGTTTAGGGTTTAGGGTGGAGTCGCCTAGGATCTCAGTGGCTTGGGGGGCTTAGAGCTGGGGGTACTGGACCTCCCCTTGTGATGGTGTTTGGGGTTTAGGGTTTAGGATTAGGTTTCGGGTTTAGGGTTTAGGGTTTAGGGTTTCGGGTTTTGGGGGTGCAGGGTGCGAACATTGGGTTTTGGAGGGCTTGGGGTTGAACGGTGTTGGTCTTACTTGGTCATTGCGCCACACTGGAAATTGGGTGGGTTGCGGACCAGCTTTGGGTTTCATGGAGGGTTGCATTCTTGAGAAGTCTGGTGAGCTCCAGTTGAACCCTAAACCTGTTTCGGTCGAGGACCTGAACTCTTCCTGAATAATTGAGTATGGGTCATACAGACACCCTTATTCTGGTGTTCTATTGTTTAGTATTAAGTTTCTGAAAAAGGCCCAGCAACTAGACGCACAAGTTCCTAAGCCTCAGCCGAAGGAATAACCTAAACCGTACACCAGTTCTTGCTCCCCAACCCCATAAACGTGGTTAGTGTGCCCCCCTCCCAACATCGGGGGGGGGGGGGGGGGGGGGGGTGGAGTTCCCTAAACCCCAAACCCTGAACCCTGCTAGAGAGGACAGCAAAACAAGCCGTCCGTGGCCGTGTGTTCTCTGGCTTGATTGGGGGGGGGGGGGGCCTTGGGCTTCCTTCTGTCCGCCCCCACCACCACGGCAGGGTTTAGGGTTTGGGGTTTTAGGGGCTTGAAAGGCTTTGTAGGTTTAGAGGGCTTACAGGGCTTAGAGGGTTTAGTGTAAGGTTTTGCACTTACCGGGCTTATAGGGTTTAGAGGGTTTATTATAGGGTTTTGCAGGGTTCAAGGTGCATTTAGGACTTAGGGGCCCCCTGGCTTGCAGGGTCTGGGCTCTGCTCACACAACTGGGAACCCAGGAAGCACGTTAAATAGTCAGTGTCTCACGGCTTAGGGTTTAGGGCTTAGGGATGAAGTTCATGGGTTTCCGGGAAAAGCTATTTCCCCTTGCCCTGAGCTGCCAGAAAACCCTCAAGCCTCAGCAACCCCAAACCAAACCCTCGAGCCTCAATTATAGGGTTTAGGGTTTAGGGTTTAGGGTTTAGGGTTTAGGGTTTAGGGTTTAGGGTTTAGGGCTCAAGGAGGTTATGTGACCCAACGTTCCCTGACACTCCCCACTACCTCGCTAAGGCTCTCTAAGTTTCCCTAGGGTTTAGGGTTTAGGGTTTAGGGTTTAGGGTTTAGGGTTTAGGGTTTACGGTTTAGGGTTTGGGGTTTAGGGTTAAGGTTCTCCAGGTACCAAGCCCGCCCTAATTAAGTCAATGACCCTACACTCTCAACCCCAAACCCTAAACTCTAAACCCTCACAAGCCTGGGAAAGCCCTGAAAGCCAACACGCTATAAGCTCTAACCCTAAACCCTTTTGCAACAGGCTTCTGAGGTCCGCAAACCCTAAACCCTAAATCCTAAACCCTAAACCCTAAACCTAAACCCAAAACCCAAAACCCTAAACCCAAGGCTTGGAGCTTAAGTCCCGGGCTCTTTCACCATGGAGGCCGCCGTGCGCCGGCCGAAGGGGCGCCAAGCCCTGGTGTTTAGGGTTTAGGGTTTTTAGGGTTTATATAGGGTTTAGGGTTTCGGGTTTGGGTTTAGGGTTTTAGGGTTTAGGGTTTAGGGTTTCGGGTTTAGGGTTTAGGGTGTGCTTCGCAACTTGGGAGGGCGTTGGGTTGAGAGGTGTTCAGGTCCCGTAAGCTATAAGTGCGGTTTTGCATGCTTTACAGGCCTTCTGGGGTGTAGGGGGAATAGTGGGCTTATAGCGTTGTCGCTTGCCACAGTTTCCGGTTAGGATTTAGGGTTTCAGCGCTGAGACAATTCTGCAGTAGAAAAGCCCGCAGCCCACGCGCTTGATCACGGAAGTGCCAGCAAATCGCCTCTGCCACGCTCGGGCAAAGGGTCACTGTCTCCTTGTCGTTGGTGCCTTCCTCCAGCCAGCTCATGCACGCGTTGATGGTCTGGGGAAGGCAGCATAGCAAGTCATTGCCATGGAGCAGTGCCACACCTTATCGAGGAAAGCTCGCACGGGAGACTCAGCCCCAAACCCTTTGCAGCAGGCTTCTGGTTCATTACCTGAGGCTCCCATCCCAGCATCTGCGCTCATAGGGTTTAGGGCTTAGGCTCATGGCCGACACACAGACCTAGTGTTGAGGATTCAGGGTTGAGGGACATGCTATCACAAGGCCTCGAGATGTTGTCAAGAGCCTCAAAAAGCCTAACAGCCTTAAAACCTAAAGCCAGAATCCCTAAACAAGGGCATTAGGCATTAGGGGTTTAGGGCTTCCCGCAGCCCAAACTCTAAACACATCTAAACACCCTGCACAACAGCCAGAATAAACGTGTGCCAGGCTGCGTGGGTTCAGGGCTTGGGGTCCAGGTGTTTTTTCTAGGGTTTCGGGTTTAGGGTTTCGGGTTTAGGGTTTAGGGCCCCGATCACCTCAATCTCTAAACCGTGTACATCCTGAAGGCTACGGTTTGGCTGTCTGTCACAGCTGGACCCTTCGCCACAAAGAGCCCTGCGGTTTAGGGTTTAGGGCTAGCATTTAGGGTTTAGGATTTAGGATTTAGGGTTTAGGATTTAGGGTTTAGGGCAACCGGAATCTGCTGTTGTTAGCTGCATTGCGGGTTTAGAGTTCCGGGGCCCCCCCCCCCCCCAACCCCGTACGCCCAGAGCTAAGACAGGCATTAGAAACCCTACATTTTGCAACAGGCTTGCTGCTTCGCCCGGAGATGGTCAGAACATACCCTCAGGCCTATAACCCTAAACCCGAAACCCGAAACCCGAAACCCTAAACCCAGGGTGAGGATTTCAGGGCCATCATTTCCTCATTCCGTACCAGGGGCCAGAGGGTCTTTGCTGCTTTGGGGAGTTTTTTTCAGGGACGAGAACCCTAAAGCCCAAAACCCAAGCCCTGAACCCCAGTTTTTTGTCAAATCCTAATCCTTATCAACCCTAAACCCTCTTTTCAAACCCTAAACCCTAACCCTAAATCCTGAACCCTAAACCCTAAATCCTATCACCCAACCAAAAACACGTAAGCACAATTGCCTGCGCACAGTGAGCATGGCCGCCCCGCCGTGCAGCATTGCGGGTGCAGGGTTGAAGGGATGTGCTTTCGGAGTGCTACGGCCTGCTGAGGGCTTCTGAGATTTTGGGCTTTCATCCAGGTTGAGACCCTAAACCCCTAAACCCTAAACCCCAAACCCCAAACCCTACTTAAACCCTAAACCCCCCTAGACCCTAAACCAATAAATGGGATTATAGTAACCCCTTTTATAATGAGTGAGGCCGGGTCCTGCAGTGTATGCTCCTGACAGCAGCGGTGCTTGATTCCCGCAGTTGGCAGTCCCCCTCAGCCCTACACCCCCTCCCAAGCCCTAAACCCAAACCCCGCCAAACCCTAAACCCTAAAACCACCCTAAACCCTAAAACAACCCTAAACCCTAAAAATCCCGATAACCATAAAAAATCCCTAAACCCCAAAAAAAACCGAAACCCTAAACTCTTCACCACCAACTAAACGCAAAACTCCTATAGAGGTCCTAGAGGCAGCCCAGCAACGAACCCAAGACCCCGCTGACTCAAGAAAGTCTGATTTGGGATGTTCCCCCTTCTAGTAACAGTCCTTAATCGGGATTCTCTTACCCCCCTATGATCATCCCTACTGAGGGATTCTCGTACCCCTTATTCTAATCCCTACTAAGGGATGATGTTCCCCCCCCCCCCTACTATATTCCCTAAACCCTAAACCCTATACCCTAAACCCTAAACCCTAAACCCTATTAAGGGGGAACATCCCCAAGGTCGAACTGGGAGTTCTTGTGGCACGCGCTCACAACGAAAAGACAGAGCGAGCGCTGAAAACCCTAAAGGTGCATACACTCACTCAGCTAGAGTCTAGGGTTTAGGGTTTAGGATTTAGGGCTAGATTACAGATATATCTATATATGTATATATATATATATAAATGCATAGATACTTGTTGCTGGCGTGTTTCTGTTTTTGTTTGGGGTTTAGGGTTTTGGGGTTTAGGTTTAGAACACAAAGCCCTCAATCTAACCTCATAGCCCTAAACCCGAAACCCTGAACCCTAGACCCCAAACCCTAAACCCTGAATCCTAAACCCCGAACCCTAAACCCTAAACCCTAAACCCCAAACCCTAAACCCCCTCATCAGAGGCCGGTACGAACTTTCTTCGATGCTCGGGGTCGTGGTTGTAGCACCTGTGGCCTCCACCACCGCGTTGCTGCAGACAAGGGCTTCTTGAGTCTGAGTCCCTGTCGTCAGGCTTTAGGGGTTTAGGGGTTTAGGGTTTAGGGTTTAGGGTTTAGGGCTCGGGGCTTGGGGTTTGGGGTTTAGGCTCAAGGTTTAGACCCGCCATGCCTGAATCCCAAAACCGGAAAACGTAAACACCCGATAGAAGCTTCTGGAACCCCGCTACGGATCCCCTTAATCTTGAAGCCCCCACTTTCCCGCTCTTATATTGCTGAATCAGAACGAGTTTGGGCAGCAAATGTCACAGCAGCATAGGTAGCACCAATGGGGTAGTGTTGGACATTGCATCGGCTCCGTTATGGCACTGAAGCTCCGGAGCAAACAAGAACCGGAACTCACGCCTAAACCCCCTAGCTCTTCTCCATCCACCAAAAACTCACTCTTCACTCAGAAAACCAAGCAGCTAAACCCTAGACCCTAAACCCAAAAACCCTAATCCCTAAACCCTAAGAACCTACACCCTAAACCCCAAACCCCCGATGAAGCCAAGACTGAGGTCGGGTCCCCACTTGCACTGAGGCTGCGCCGAGGACGCCGGGGGGGCCGAGGGGGCAGCGGCATGGTAGCCACCAGGCGCCGGGGCTGGCCAAGGGTTTAGGGTTTAGGGTTTAGGGTTTAGGGTTTAGGGTTTAGGGTTTAGGGTTTAGGGTTTAGGGTTTAGGGTCCAGGAATTTTGGGGTTCAGAGTTTGAGGTCTGGGGCCTTAGTGGAGCTTGGGGTTGTCCTTGAAGGCACCTGAGCTCTTTAGGGTTTAGGGTTTAGGGTTTAGGGTTTAGAGGTTGAGGATTTCGGGTTTACAGGCTAGGTTTGCCGCCCCCCCCCCCCCCCCAAGACCCCCAGACCCCAGCCCCACTTAATTGCCGCCCCCCCTCTATTTTACCACTCTCAAAACACCGAAATTCAAAACACAATTTGGGGGGGGGGGGGGGGGAGGGTTATAAATGTGACCCCAACATTACTGGACTTGATCTTCTTTGTCCGTTCGATCTGTGCCATGTAGGCGACGCCATCCTTGAAAGAACTTGCCACATCAGCCGCCTCCGTGGGTGGTTGGACGCATGAAGGGTTGAATATCTCAGCGCCGCCTACAACCACCACAAACTGCTCGCCAGGCTGAGAGGCCCGAGCCATGTAGTGCCGCAAAGACCTCACTGTCCGAATGACGGGCCGCCCGAGCAAGGGCCTAAACCCTAAACCCTAAACCCTAAACCCTGGTCCATGACTGGACTTGAGACGTTATAAGGGTTCAGGGTCTAGCGGTGCTTGAGCTACAGGGCAAGAGGAACCCCGACCAAACGGCTTTAGCGGGGTTCAGGAGATTTGGTGGGTCTCGTGCATTTTGAAACTGAACCCCTAAGCCCTAAACCCTAAACCCCTAAACCCTAAGCCCTAGACCCTAAACTTAAACCCTAAGCCCTAAGCCCTAAGCCCTAAACCCTAAACCCTATAAACCCTAAACCCTAAACCCTATCAAGACAAAGGCCTCCTTTCTCAGGCTTGCGGGGGAGGCTCTAGCCTGAGGACTTCGCCGCGCACCAGGTGGCCAGGCAGCTGTCGCAAAGGTGGAAGCCGCAGGGCTTGCAGCTCCACCTCCCCGGTTTGGTTCATGTGGGGTTTGGGGTTTAGGGTTTGGGATTTATAGGGTTTGGGGTTTAGGGTTTGAAGCTCCTTTTGTTGCTGGGGGTCCCCTGGCCCCACGGCTCGTCGTTATAACTGGAGCTTGGCAGCTGCACCTCCGTGCTCACAAGGAGGTTTAGGGTTTCGGGAATTTAGGGTCTTCCCTAAATCCTGAACCCTAAACCCCAAATCCTGGACCCTATGCCCTCAGGGCTTCAACGGCGTTTATGGTTCCCTAGGATGCCGACTCAGCAGCAAAGTTGTTGAGAGCTTTCGGGGGCTTATCGCACGCTTTTACGGGTTCTTGGGCTAATAAACCCTAAACCCGTTATACATAACCTAAACCCTAAACCCTATACTATATATAAACCCTAAACCCTATATATAAACCCTAAACCTTATATATATATATACAAACCCTAAACACGAGTCGCTTGTAGGGTTCAGGGTTTTCGGAGGACTATGGGTTGATCTTGTAGGGCTTGTAGGATTTACGCTGGACCGGGTCACCGGGTTTGGGGAAATCGGGTGGAGGAGTTGGGTTAGGTGTGGGTAGAGGCGTGTGTGTGTGTGTGTGCGCGCTTTTAGCTTGTATGTGTCAGACGGCTTAAACCCTAAACCCTAAACCGTGGAAATAGGGTTTCCGGGTTAAGGGTTTATAGGGCTCAGGGTCACCTTCAACCCCAAGAAAGCTGTTTCTCCCAGTGTTCTCCCTTATTCTCACAGGGATTATAGAAACCCCATTATCATCCCGATTAAGGACTAGTAGAAAGGGGGAACATCCCAAGCTTGGGTTCTCAAGAATGTTCTGAGATTCAAATGTTTAGGGTTTTAGAGGATCAAAAGGGTCAAGAGTTGAGGGTTTTAAGTCGAAAGCCGGACTCCTTCAGTCCCTGAATCAATCCCCGGAAACTGGATGGTGCTGTGCACCCTGCACCCTGAAGCATCACACCTTTCGTCTCGACCCCGCTGAGACAATGGCTCGTGTGTGAAACGCTCGCCCCCGCGAGGAGCTCAAGCTTGCGCATGGTCGTCGCAGCATATGAGGTAGGGCTTTTCTTATGTCTAGCATCCCCGAAAGGACTCCCCATATATGTGATCCACTAAGTTCCTAGCGTCCCCAAAAGGCTACTGTACCCCATGTACAACTCACCCATCAGGCCCTCAACCAGAGCCTGAACTGCCTTAAGCCAGCCCTAAACCCTAAACCCTGAAACCTGAAACCTAAATCTCCCTAAACCCTACACCCTAAACCTTAAACCTTAAACCCTACCTCATATGCTGACTTCCCCGCCCCAAAAAAGCTCACAAGCCTCCATTGACTCGGTGTGCTCCTTCTTTTTGGGACTTCTCTACTTAGGTGCCCCGTCGTGTAGGGTTTAGGGTTTAGGTTTAGGGTTTAGGGTTTAGGGTTTAGGGTTTAGGGTTTAGGGTTTAGGGTTTAGGGTTTAGGGTTTAGGGTTTAGGGTTTAGGGTTTAGGGTTTAGGGTTTAGGGTTTAGGGTTTGGGGTTTGGGGGGGGTTTGGGGTTTGGGGTTTGGGGTTTGGGGATTGGGGTTTGGGGTTTGGGGTTTGGGGTTTGGGGTTTGGGGTTTGGGGTTTGGGGTTTGGGGTTTGGGGTTTGGGGTTTAGGTTTTATAGGGTTTGGGGTTTATTTAGGGCTCTGGGGCTTTAGTAGGGTTTAGGGTTTAATAGACCAACCTTGCTTTTGGGTGTCGGATCTTAAGGAAGCTATTCTGGCTCCAGGCACTATCAGGCTGAGAGCCGGCGTGCCGACGTAGTGCCGTGTTGTCAGGTGCTGTGCGCGCTGTGCGCACGGATGACCTTCAAGATCTCAGCACCATATTGGTCCACCTGAGCTGTGAGATACTTGGAGGTTCAGGGTACCCCCAATGATAAGTGTATATACTTATAAGCGCCCTAAGTTCCCTAAGAAGGCTCCAAACAGCCCAAAGTAGGAATGATTTACAAACTTTAGACCCCCATATACGTGCTGTTTGTATACTTGGAGCCCCAGGCGTAGGACACAGCATCAATCCACCCAGGCCCAGCACCCCTGAAGTAAGGAATGGTCCTGAAAACCATGAAGGCCTTTGTATGAATTAAGGCCTATTCCTTACTAAAGGGATATGGAGGTTTCCGAACTTGGGGTCCTTATTACAAGAGGATCCGGCTATTTGGGGTCTATATTAGTGCTTAAACCCTGAACCCTGAACCCTGAACCCTCATATTGGGCACTCTGGGCAAAATCTGCAGATTGCGGCTCAGGGCTAGCTCATCAGGCTAACAAAAGGGCCTCATGAGGCCTCCTGCACGGTTAGGTGTTTAGGGTTTAGGGTTTAGGGTTTAGGATTTAGGGTTTAGGGTTTAGAGTTTAGGGTTTAGAGTCTAGAGGTATACCCGCACCCGCCCTGACAGGACACCGATTGCTGCCGTGAACGCTTGGTCTCAAAAAGTTCACCATGTTGCCAAGATGCCCTCTGCGGGCCTAGCCCCCAAACCTTGGGGACCAAATGAACCCTAAAAGGGTTTAGGGTTTAGGTTTAGGGTTTAGGGTTTATGATCCCTAATAGGAATCATAGTAGCACAAGGTATGTGACCACAATTTTAGGGTTCGTTTGGTCCCCGAGTAACTGTTAGGAGCTGTGCTGGACTGGCGGGGCGTATCTTGATCAGGTCGTGAATCGTCCGATCACCTTGGCTGCAAGTAACCTGCAAACTTGAGGGAAGCTCACCGAACTCGAAGATATGGTGGTTTACGAGAGTGCGGGAGCCCCTAATATAGACCGCCAAGTAGGATCCCCTTATGACAAGGACCCCAACAAGGTAGCCCTAAAAACGTAAGCCCCCATATGACTCTTCTTCGTGCTGCCAGGCGGCTCCAGATGCAGTAGGCCGGCAGGTCCCTCTTCCGGCATAAACTGGAGCGCAGCTTGCGAAGTGCCCCTGCCAAGCCCGAGCACTTCGTGCTTCCCCAGCTACTTTCCGTGCTGGTCTTCCTGATCCTCCGAATCTTGTAGGTGGTCTTCTCGACCTTTTCGCGGTTGGAGGGCCGAAGCTTTGCAGGCCATGTTGCTCTCACTTCTCGCCTCTGCCCAGTGGGCGACTTACCGAGACAGACATCACAAGCTCCACAGCCGCCAGGGACCAGGAGTTCCTGGTCAAAGTGGGCTGCCAGTGCTTGGTGCTTGCAGTGCTTGCCTTGCAGGAGCTCGAACATCTCATCCAGCTGCTCCAGCTGCCAATCTCTTCGTTCTTCCGTTCGTTCAGAGCTGTCATTCGTAATCGCCATTCGCCTCCAGGCTCGGGACCGCTTGCCGAAGTGGTACAAGATGCAGTCAGAGGGCTGACCATCGCGCCCCGCCCTGCCCACTTCTTGGTAGTATTGGTCCACACTGCTTGGCATATCCTTGCTAGCCCGGTATAGCCATCTCACAATAAGGGTACTGTACCTGCTTTGGGGTTGGCTACTTGACGAGGGAACCCTAGAATCCCCAAACAGGAGAGGGTTGAGGGTTGAGGGTTTAGGGTTTAGGGTTTAGGGTACCACTTGGCTGCCAAGCCTCAAAGTGGAAGACAAAGCGCGTGTCGGGTCGGTCGATGCCCAGCCCAAAGGCTGTGGTCGCAACCACGACATCCTGGCGGACCCTATGAACCCTAAAAGGTCCATATGCCCGAAAATGGGAGTATGGTATAGGGTATATGACCCCAAACCCTAAACCCTAAACCCTAAACCCCAAACCCCAAACCCTAAACCCTAAACCCAACTTTAGGGTTCGTTTGCTGCCCAAGGATCGAGCTGTGCGTCGCGCCACTGGCTTGAAATTCGGTCCCTGCTGTCTCCATCCAACCGGGAATGGTAGCCTAGGTTGCCCAGATCCCGAAACCCTAAACCCTAAACCCTAAACCCTGAACCTAAACCCTAAACCCTAACCCCTTAGGCCCTAAGCCGTTTTTTTTGCTTAAAGGGGTTCAAAAGGGAACCTGAGACCCCCCCCCCTCCCCCCAAAAAAGGGAATAAGGGCACTACTGGGCAGCCGAGTAGCTGGCAAGTCTGACTGACTTCAGTGGGCGAAGCTGACGGTAGAGCCGTTGTAGCCCCTTGTGGGAGTGGCAGTAGATGATCCCCGCCTGGCCGGGGGTAGTTTAGGGTTTAGGGCTTAGGGTTTAGGATGTAGGGTTTAGGGTTTAGGGTTTAGGGTTTAGGGGCCCGCCTGGCCGGGTCGCGCACGGATCTCCCGCTTGATTTCTGCAACTGCATCCTGTTTCCTATACTGAACTTGGAACCCTGGCAAAAAAAAACTTTAGCTGTTTCTAAGGAATTATAGTACCCGAAAATTCTAGTAATTACACAAAAAAACTCTAAACCCTAAACCCAAAACCCTAAACCCTGAACCCTGAACCCTAAACCCTAAACCCCAAACCCTAAACCCTAAACCAAAAAATATTCCCAAGTATCCCCAAGCTTCTGGGCACACTGCGTGGACGTCAGGCAGAGGTTTAACCGACTGATCCTGGGCTGCTGCTGCTGCGGAGTGGGGCACTCTGTTGAACAAATGCCTACATGCAATGAGAATATGTATGTATGTATGTAAGTAAGTATGTATGTATGTATATGTTTGCATGTAGGCATGTAGCAGACGTATGTGCAGCATAAGGTCCTTGTCATGGTAACTCAACTTGAGATTGCTGACAACCATTATTTGCTTAAGAATCACCAACACATGAAAGATCATAACCCCTATATTAACCTTATACGGAAGAACATGTCTTCTTTTCTCGAATGAAACCCTAAACCCTAAACCCTAAACCCTAAACCCTAAACCCTAAGTAGAAAAGCAGGCCAAGGATCGGCGCAGTGCAGATTCGAGCATCCTTGAGACCGAGTTGCGCGACGATGTCCGATTTCACCTAGTTCATGGTTGGGGGTTTAGGGTTTAGGGTTTCGGGATTAGGGTTTAGGGTTTAGGGTTTAGGATTTAAAGTATTAATGAAGCAACATTTCTATTTCTTGCAGAGTTTTAAGTACCTTAAAACTGTATATAATACCATAAGCATTCAAACAATTCGATCTTATGGAGTTTGAGCACCCTTAAAAATGCAAAAATGTTACCCCGCTATGACACAAAGTCACTGCGGGAGCTGCGGAAGCTGTGAAGGCTTGGACGGGTACTCCGAACTCCCTTTTAACCTGAGGGTTCAGGGTTTGGGGTTTGAGGTTTGGGAGAGTTTCGGGTTTCGGGCTTGGAGTTTGGTGTTTAGGGTTTGGGGTTGAGGGTTCGGGTTTGGGGCTGAGGGTCTCGGGTTTGGCGGGGGGTGGATCTAAAGTACGGCCCTTAGACTGTGCCCGAAGAGGTATACCGGTTTACAAGGGGACCGATACCCAAACCCCTCAGAATCGATCATCGCTTAGAAGCCCCTACAAAAGGGTTTTTAGGGTTTAGGGTTTAGTAACCCTAAACCCTAAACTCTAAACCCTAAACCTTGCACTGGTATGTAAGGGGGGGGGGGGTTTCCGAGTGGCCCATGTCATTTTGAGGTAGTCTTCGCGGAAGTCATGGCCCCACTGACTGACGCAGTGTGCCTCGTCCACCTCGGGCCCCAGTGACCCAGGCAAAAAGGGACCCTCTGCTGTTGCTTAGGGTTTAGGGTTAGGGTCCAGGGGTTTAGGGGCTAGGGTTTAGGGTTTAGGGTTTAGGTTAGGGGTTTAGGGTTCAGGGTTAAAGGATTACAAGGTGGGTGGTTCGGAGCCTAAACACATGGACAAAGGAAGGAACAAGTCGGACGAAGGCTTAACCCCACTGGGGGATCCGAGCCACGACGACGTTCTTGAGTTGACCCCTCAGCTTGCGCAGGCGACCTTGGAAGCTCGGCAAAGCCAGTCGCTCGGGCGCAACGTACAGCAGCCGCAGGTCGTCCTGCTCCAGCTGTTCGTACACGTCTGCTTGCTCTGAGTGCGCCTGCTGCGAGCTCAAGTACGCTGCAGGCACCCCGCGCTGCAGCAGGGACAAGACCTGGTCATTCCTGGTTCATGGTTGGGATAGTAATAAAAGTTTATAAGCCTAATTATTCCTTATTGAGTTTAAGTACCCTTAAAAAATGTAAAAAATCAAAAAACTACCCCACTGTGACAAAGATGCATGAGGCTGAGCAGTGGGCTGATTACAAGCGTGAAGCCCGAGCTGCGACAGACGGCTGGGGCCTGAAAGCACAGGCTTTTTCCCGAGCCGGTGGCCATAATGACCAGGGCATCTTGATTCTCCTTACTTCTCCAATAACCAAGGGAAAAAAAGGTCAAACTGTCTGATTCCTACTAAATGAGGAAACCCAAAAGGAGTATGAAGTTCAGCTGGTGGAGAGGTAAGTCTCAGAGACAGCCTGCAATGCTTCGAGTTGCCCTGGTCGCAGATCTGACACTCCAAACCTCGTTCATGGCTGGGATAATATGAAAAGCAAAAATCTCATTCCTTATTGGGTTTAAGTACCCTTAAAGATGTAAAATGTTACCCAACTATGACAAAGAAACTGCTGACGCAGGACTTTCTGCAGCTTTGTCTTCAGCTTGCCAAAGCCTTCCAGGGCACCAGGGCCCACAGCAGCCATACTTTGCCTCCTGCTCGTCACCTGCACATGTGGGCTCCAGAGCCTGCACCTTATCTGAACTTGGTGCCCCAGAAAAACTACATTTTCTGCTGTTTCTTAGGAAATGTAGTGCCCAGAAACCAAAAACTAGCCCCAAGTATCCCTCAGGCACGCACATGCCAGCACCGCCACCGTCTGCAGATTCGTGGCTGGCGGGTGTCTTCGCGGTGTTCCGGCGCACGGCGCCAGCGGAGGCAAAGGAAGCTCTGCCGGAAAGTTTGCAATCATGAGGTCTGGACCAGGAATCCGGCTTCAACGAAACCAACAAGGCTCTGATCCTAACGCCTTGCGAGGCTCCTGTCGGCTCGTTGCATCTCCTGCCGTGAAGTAGCCACCTTAAGAGCCCCGAAAAATGAGATAATTATCCCTACATTACCCAGGTAAGGAAGAACATCTTTGCGCTTTTTGGGGGATTCTTAAGCAATTGGTTACTACTTATGAGTAGTTCTCACTTGCCTGAGCCACTGAGTAAAGGAGGCTGCAGGGTCAAATGGTTGGCGCACGTCGGGTTTAGGGTTTAGGGTTTAGGGTTCAGGGTTTAGGGTTTAGGGTTTAGGGTTTAGACGCTCGTTGTCACAAAGGTACCTTTCACAAGAGGCTTCTTGAACCCTAAGCTCGTACAAGCTCGGAACCGGCTTCGTAGGGCCGCCTCTTTTTTCAGTGTCGAAGAAGCTTAGACCCCAAACCCTATAATTAAACCCTGAACCCTAAACCCTATAAACCCTATAAACCCTATAAACCCTATAAACCCTATAAACCCTATAAACCCAATAAACCCTATAAACCCTATAAACCCTATAAACCCTATAAACCCTATAAACCTTATAAACCCTATAAACCCTATAAACCCTATAAACCCTATGAACCCTATAAACCCTATAAACCCTATAAACCCTGTAAACCCTCTAAACCCGAAACCCTAAACCCTTAAACCCCTACATCCTGAGCCCTGAACCCTAAACCCCCTGATAGCCCCTAAGACACCAGATGCCCTTGAGCCCCATTAATTATTGCCAGGGTCAGGCCGTCTCTACTGATACCAAGGAGGCATGACCCTACACTCTATTCCCTAAACCCTAAACCCTAAACCGCAAACCCTAAACCCTAAACCCCAAACCCTAGACCCTAAACCCTACTTCCCAACCCAAAAGGTGCGGCAAATTTCTTTACGAATGAGTGTTTTTCGAGCCGATGCTGGCGGCTGCCTCTTCTGCATGTTCCCTAAGGGCCGGTTTAGGGTTTAGGGTTTAGGGTATAGGGTTTAGGGTTTAGGGTTTAGGGTTATCCTATGGGTGGTTGTCAAAATTGTGATCCCTTTTGGGGTACCCTAAATGTTGGGCGCCGTATTATAATAGGGATCCAGAAAGTGACCATACCTGTGACAACCACCCATATACTTGCGCCCCAAAGTCCCTACATAAGTATTCCATATTTAGGTACATGGACCCTTAGGGGTTGTGGGTTAGAGGCGTACGGCTTTTGGCGGTTTTAGGGTTTCTGCTCAGGATATCCACTGGCTTTTTGGGTTTAGGGTCTAGGGTTTAGGGCTTAAGCTTTAGGGGGTCTGCATGTGGCGGAGGGTTTCAGGCGTGTGGGGCTTAGGGGTTTTAGGGGTTTTTGGGGTTTATGCGAGGGTTTAAGGAGCCTGCGTCTTCGGGGTGTTAGGGTTTAGGGGGTTTGCATGCTGAGGGTTTAAGGCGTTGGGACTTAGGGGTTTTAGGGCTTTAAGGGGTTTAGGGTTTAGGGGGTTCAGGTTTTGTTTTG